GTTTAGGGTTTAGGGTTTAGGGTTTAGGGTTTAGGGTTCAGGGTTTAGGGTTTGACATCCGGCAAGTTGACTTTGCACGAAGGGTTTTGGAGCTCCCTGTCTGAACAGGTTGAACTTGAACCCTATGCATCGCTTACCAGGGTGTTGGGTCGTTGCCATCGGTTTGTGGAGTTCCGAAAATAGGTGACCAAAATATAGTACCCTAAATAATAGGATCCCTACTATAAGGACCCTCAAATAAGGTACCCTAATTTTCTGAAACTCCCATTTGTGTGATTTGGCAATCGAAGAAAAAGTATCGGCCTTGGAGTCTACAGACTTCGCCGGGCAATGCGTTCAGTTGTACGAGTCTGTCGCGTCATTGACACTGAAACCTCAGCAGACGCCTCATCTTGATCTCAGCACGCTTCCTGCCGCTGACGATGATTCCAGAGGCCAGCTAGCTGAGTCAGCTGCTCGCATCCTTATGAAGGTTTTATGGTTGGCCCGATTGTGTCGACCTGATCTTCTCAACGCTTGCTTCTCATGTGTGCTCATGGAGCAAGAATGATGACAGAAGAGTCCATCGACTCGTCGGCTACATCTTTAACTCGGTAGATTATGCATTGGTGCCCGCATACAAACCCCTAAAGCCTACACCCGTAAAGCCCTAAACGCTAAACCCTCAAAGCCCTGAACCCTTAAAGCCCTCAACCCTAAACCCTTACAGGAACCCCAAAGGAATCTCTGACTGAAGCCCGAACGGATCCTCGAAAGGGACCCTGAGAGGAACCCTAGGATAACTCAAGCGAGCCCTCAGAGAAAGCCTTCAAGGAAGTCTGAAAGGAGTCGGTTTAAGGTTTAGGGTTTAGGGTTTAGGGTAAGGTTTAGGGTTTAGGGCCTAGGGAATCCTTAAAGAAACCCTGAATCCTCAAAACCCTACTTTCCTAAAGATCCCGAAGACCACACACCCAGACCTCAAACAGTACGCCACTATAGATCCCTGAAAAGAATCCTGCCAGGTACCCTCAAAGTTTAGGGTTTAGGGTTTACGGTTGAGAGTTTAAGGTTTAGGGTTCAAAACCAACCCCTAAACCCCTATACAAGCATAGAGCTCATACAGACCCCTACAGCAAGCCAGAAGAAAAGTGTAGCAGAGGCAATGAAGACCAGAGATCCCCGCACCCCTCAGGCCCAAGCAATCTCAGAAATATGACCCAAAGCCTAAGCCCACTCTAACACTTGAAACCCGTTCAAAGCTGGGGTATATGTGTGTTTTTGCAACAGTTGTCAAGTTCTGATGAAGTCAAGGACCCCTTAATGACTCCCACGAACAAGGTCATGAAAAAACTGAGGACAACGCCTAAAGCACCCCAAAAAGTCTATAAACGCCTGAGTGTCCTGGGGAAAGCCCTCGCAAACTATAGTTATAACCCTAAAACCACCCATAAACACCTTAATGGCCCCAAGCCCCACTCCCAGAAAAAGCCCTTGCAAACTAGAGTTATAGCCCACGTTAAGGCCTTTAAAACCCATGAACCTCCAAGCAGACCCCGAACCCTTAACCCTCAACCCTAAACCCTCAACCCTAAACCCTAAATCCTAAGCCCTAAACCCTAAACCCTAAACCCCTACACCCTAAACCCTGAACCCTGACAGAGGACACGGATGGAAGCTCAGTTCACTCCGTGACCTTCTCGGCAGAGGGGGAGATGATCGTCGAAGCTCGGAGAATGGCTGGTTTAGGGTTTAGAGTTTAGGGCTTAGGGTTTAGGATTTTGGGTTTAGGGTTCAGGTTTTTGGGCCTGGGGCTTAGGTGTTTTGGGTTTAGGGTTTTGGGTCTTAGGGGTTTAGGGTTTTGGGTCTGGGGCTTAGGGGCGGGTTTAGGGTTTGGGGTTAAGGGGACTTACATGGCGTTTGTGTGTATAGGCTTTCATGCGCAGTTTCGCTTGTTTGGTAGATGTTTGGGGTTCCCGTTTTGTTGTCTTTTGGGTTTGCTACAGGGTTTGTCCTTTACGGGTTCGCTAAGGGTTTTTTTCTTGGGTTTCATAGGCTGTTCATAGGGTCCTATTGTTCTTCAGCCAAGTGTTCTATAAGGACTTTATTATAGGCGGGTTGAGGATCTGGTGATTTGGGGCTGGTCAGTGGTGGACCCTAAACCCTAAACCCTATTATAAGCCCTAAACCCTAAACCCTGAACCCTAAACCCTGAACCCTAAACCCAACCCTAAACCCTTATAAGCCCTAAACCCTAAACCCTGAAAGCCCTAAACCCTAAGCCCTTATAAGCCCTGAACCCTAAACCCTGAACCCTAAACCCTAAAAGGCTGTGTCCCGCTGGATATTTGCGTCTTCGAGCTGCGACACCTCCATGAGGAGCGGCTGCAGGCCGTGCCTGTCATTTTGAGGTTTTAGGGTTTAGGGCTTAGCGTTTAGGGTTTAGGGTTTAGGGTTTTGGGTTTAGGGGTTTAGGGTTTAGGGTTTAGGGTTTAGGGTTTAGGGCAGGACTGTGCAGGCCCCTTCGAGGAGAAATGCATCGCGTTGAGTCCCAGCGGGAAGATGGCGGGCGGCGACCTGAAAACAACAAAGACTGACGAGAAGCAGGGCCGTCACTGGGAGTAAGCCCTAAACCCCAAAGCCTAAACTCTAAACCCTAAACCCCTAAACCGTATAAAGTAGGTACTGCGTGCGGTGGCGTGACAACAGGTGGCATGGACTGGGACTGGGACGTGGTCTCCTGTCAGGCCGAACTCGTGCAGTTAGCCGCCCTCATCCATCCAACCCTGGTTGTGGAGGGTTTAGGGTTAGGGTTTGGGGTTTAGGGATTGGGTATTGTGGATAAGATCGACTGGGGGACCAGTGGCTGTCTTTTGATGTCATATTTCCGGATTAGAGCGCACGCTAAATCCTGAACCAGATCAAGCCCAGACACTACTTCGAGGTTCATGGGTAGCTTTTAGTGGGTTTCTAAGCAGGGTAACTAACTATGGCTAACTGCTGCTACAACCCACATTAACGGACATATACACTCACTTCTTACTACCCATGAAGCTCCAAGTAAACCCTGTAAACATCCCTAAACCCTGAACAGTTTTGAATTTGGTGTATCGCAACCCCTAAACCCTAAACCCTAAACCCTAAACCCTAAACCGCAAATCCAAGAGCCCTACGCCCTAGAACCCTGGACCCCTCTATCCTGGAGTCCACAGGGCTCTCAAGCCCATCCTAAACCAGGGTTTAGGGTTTAGGGTTTAGGGTTTAGGGTTTAGGGTTTAGGGTTGGAAACCTTCGCAGGAACCCAAAGATCCCGAAACACCCTAAACACCCCTAAGCCTTAATCCCCCTAAACGCTAAACCCTAAACCCTATAATCCCAAAACTCAAGCCGCTAAACCCTAAACCCTGAATCACACATCACCCGTCAGTGCAAACCTCACTGAGGTAGCGTGTGCAGACCGCAGCATCAAGGCGCAGGGGTTGCTGTTTCAATAGGTTAGGGTTTTTTCGGCTTAGGGCTTAGGGCTTAGGGCTCAGGGTTTAGGGTTTAGGGTTTCGGGTCAGGGTTTAGGGTTTAGGGTTTCGGGTTAGGGTTTAGGGTTTCGGGTTTTGTTCACGGCAGGTTCAAAACATGCTTCTGAGTCTGAGTCGTTACGGCTCCGCAGCCACAACCTTGCAGCTGGACGTTATTCTAAAACTGTTTTTTGGGTTTAGGGTTTTGGGTTTTAGGGCACCTAGACTCATAATATCACGGTAGAGGCTGAGCCTTACATGCTAAACGCACGTGCGTCGACCAGGGGTCTATGATAATAGACCCCCTAAGCCCTTGTTACAGAACTTAAAGGAACTGTTCTAATTATGGAGGCCCCGACGCAGTAGTCTTGTTTTGCCTCTCACCTGCCTAGAGTTAGCAGATGCAAAGGATCTCCGAAAGGAGTACGAACGACTCCAGCAGAATGACTTTCAAAATCAAAGCCCAAGATCTTGAAGCACAGTGCAAGCGTGTGATCAGCCTCACATTTGATCAAGGCTGCTTGGGCTTGCGGCGCCTCCCTTCACCGTGAACCCTGAGCCCTCAAGCTCATAATGGGTTTAGAACGGTGTATGATAATAGGGTCCAGGCAAGGGTTTAGGGTTTAGGATCTGTTCGGTTTATGGGTCTAGGGTTTTGTTTCGGGGTCTAGCTGTAGCTCAAAACCCTAAAAACCATAAACCCTAAACCCCCCTAAAACCCTAAAACCCTAAACCCTTAAACCCTAAACCCTAAACCCCCTAAAACCCCTAAAACCCTAAAACCCTAAACCCTAAAACCCTAAACCCTAACCCCCCCTAAAACCCTAAAGCCCTAAACCCTTAAACCCTAAACCCCCCTAAAACCCTAAAACCCTAAAACATTAAACCTTTAAACCCTAAGCCCTAAACCCCCCTAAAACCCTAAAACCCTAAACCCTTAAACCCTAAACCCTAAACCCCCCTAAAACCCTAAACCCCCAAACCCTAAACCCTAAACCCCCCTAAAACCCTAAACCCTTAAACCCTTAAACCCTAAACCCTAAACCCCCCTAAAACCGTAAAACCCTAAACCCTTAAACCCTAAACCCCAAATCCCCCCTAAAACCCTAAAACCCTTAAA